AGAAGGCCCACTTCCACTTCACAGAGGGTGAGAAGCAGCAATGGCAGAGGGTGCCATTTGTCAGGAAGAGAAGGAATGAGTTGGAGAAACCAAAAAAACCCATCACCATTGAATCCATTTCAATTCACAGCCACCTAAAATGGCAGAGCAGAACTGCCCCATAGGGCTTTCTAGGCTGTAATGTTTATGGAAGCTGACTGCCACATTTTTCTTCTGAGGAATGCTGGTGGATTTGAACCATCAGTCTTTCAGTTAGCAGCCATGTGCTTAAACACTGCACCACCAGTGCTCCTTTTTGTGTTTGCGATGAGAGGGAACCACCATTCATTGCTTGTTTGTTATACTGTGGTGGCTTAGACATTGCTGTGAGACTGGAGGCTATGCCACCAGTATTTCAAATACCAGCAGGGTCACCGTTGGTGGATAGGTTTCAGCAGAGCTTCCAGACTGACGCACTCAGAAGAAGCAAGGGGCCATCCACTTCTCAAAGAATTGGCCAGTGGAAACCCTATGAACAGCAGTGAAACACTGTCTGATATATTACTGGAAACTTTATGAATAGCCCTGAAGCATTGTCTGATATAGTGCCAGAAGATGAGCCTCTCAGGTTGGAAGACACTCAGAATACAACTAGGGAAAAGCTGCCTCCTCAGAGTAGAAATGACTTTAATGATGAGGAAGGAGTAAAACTTTTGGGACCTCCATTTGCTCATGGGGGATGACTCCAAATGGGAAGAAAACAGCTGCAAACATCCATTAATAATCAGAACATGAAATGTATGAATGAATCTAGGAAAATTGGAAGTTGTCAAAATTGAAATAGAAGGCATAAAGATCAATATCCTAGGCTGGTGTTGGCCATTATGAATCAGACAACTATATGATCTACTATGTCAGGAACAACAAATTGAAGAGGAATGGTGTGGCATTCATTGTCAGAAAAAATGTTTGGAGATCTATCCTGAAGTATGATGCACTCAGTGAAGTACATATGCCTGTAAGGAAGACCAGCTAATACTACTGTTATTCAAATTTAAGCACCAACCACCAAAGCCAAAGATGAGAAAATTGAAGATTTTTAACAACTTCTGCAGTCTGAAATTCACCAAACAAGCAATGAAAATGAATTATTACTGGTGATTGAGGAGTGAAAGTCAGAAACAAAGAAGAATCACTGCTAGCTGGAAATTATGGTCTTGGTGATAGAAATGATGCCAGAGATCACATGATAGAATTTGGCAAGACCAAGGACTTATTCATTGCCAATACTTTATTTCAACAACATAAATGTCAGCTATATATGTGGACCTTGCCAGATGTAATCCATACAGATTGACTGCATCTGTGGAAAAAGGCAATGAAGAAGCTCAGTATCTTGAGCCAAAACAAGGTCAGGAACTGACTGTGCAACAGACCATCAACTGCTCTTATGCAAGTTCAAGTTGAAG